AAACTTTGACTGGACAGAAAAAAAAAAGATTTGTTTTCTAAGATATAAGTCTAAATGAAATTTGCCATATTGTTTCAATTATTAAAATATTAATTAAATATGCCTCCAAGTTATAATCATATAATGACATTAAAAATGGTTCATTGATGCAAACCATCAAAATTTTAATTCCATGACACTTAGGCTAAAATTTTAAGCAATATTCATTGTTCTGTTGTTTTTTGCTTCTTTTAGTTATTATTATTATTATTATTATTATTATTATTATTATACCAGATATCAAACTCAGGACCTTGCACTTACCAGGCAGGCACTTACACAGCTGAGTTATCTCCTCAGCCCTCTTTTAATTATTTTTTTAAAGAGATAAAACCAATGGCTAACCCCAAAAACTTATAATACCAAATGCTGACAAAGTTGAAGAGCAATTGGAATTTTCTTACATCAATGATAGGAATTTAAATTGATAATATCACTTTTCAAAACTGTTTGCCAGTTTCACATTAAGTGAAACACATTTCCATCCCATAGTCTACTAATTCTTTTAGCAGCTAAGAGAAATTAAAATATACACCTACAAATAACTTGTGAAAGAATAGCCTTAATATGGTAAGCCTTAATTTGAAATGCAGTAGTCCCTTGCTATTTGGTAGTTTGACTTTCATGGACTCACTGTTTCATGAGTTTTCAAAAAATATTAATCTAAATTATTTATCTTGGATTTTTTGCTATATTGTGAGTTTTTGCAGTACTGCACAGCATACATATATTGTTAAAATTACATAAGTGTATGAGTTTAGTAAATGGTTAAGAACATTAGAAGTGTTTTTAAAAGTGTGGATAAAGGGGCCCAAGGAGACAGCTTGGTGGCTTAAGCGCCTGCCTGGCAAGTGCAAGGTCCTGAGTTTGATCCCTGGTACCACAAAAATTATGCCAGGGAGATAGCTCAGCAGCATAAGCACTTGCCTGACAAGTGCAAGGTCTCAAGTTCAATCTGGTGCTACAAAAAAAAGTTGGAAAGGTTTATAAAGCCTTAAAATGTATATAAATATTAAAATAAATATAATGTCACTATTTCACTGATTTTCACTTATCAAGGGACTGCCTGGAGCGTAACCTCCATGATAAATGAGGGACCACTGTAATCCAATTTTTCAATTGGATTATTATTATTTGGATTATTTATTTTTATTTTTATTGGATTATTATTATTTATTATTTGTTGATACTTATCAACAAATTTTGATACAACTATACAATGAAATACTATCCAACAATAAAAAAGAAACGGCAACTGATTCATGCAACAAAATAGAAAAACCACAAAAATATTGCTATGAGGCAGAAGCCAGACACAAAAGAGAACACACTGTGTGTCCCATTTATAAGAAGTTCTAGTCAAACTAATAAAAAATGATAGAAATCAGAACATAGACTGCCTCTGGGAGTTGGCTAGGATTAGCAGAGAAAAGGTCTAAAGATATTTGCTAGGGAGCAGGAAACCTTCTCTACTTTGGTTGGGTGGGCATTACACGAGGTGGAGGCGGAATAGTGGCTCCCAGAGATGTCTGTGTCTTAATGCATGAAGTGGGTGTGGTTGAAGGATCTTGAAGATGATTAAGGTTAAGAACCTTGCAATGGGGAGATTTTCTGAATGGATGGGTCTACTCTAATCATACGAGCCTCTTAAAAATAGAGTCTGTCCCTCCTGGGGTCAGAAAAAGAGAGACTGCCATTGAAGGAAGCTACAGAGAGATGTTACATTGCTGACTCTGAAGAGGAGAAAAAGAACCAGGAGCTAAGGACTATGGGTGCTGTCCAGAAATTAGGAAAGATAAGGAATTGGCTCTCCTTCAGAAAGGAACACAGCCCTGTTGCTACCTTGACTTTAGGCCAGGAAGATCCATGTCAGCATTCTGAGCTGTGGAAGTGTAAGACAACACATTTGTGCTGTTGTAAGTCAAAAAGTGTATGATAATTTGCTATACAATCAACAAAAATCAAATAATCTAATAAATGTGGGTATGAGCATTAGTCAAAACTCATCAAAATATCTATTCAAGATTTGTATATTTTTGCTACATTTAAGCTGTATCTTGTTATTGAATGACTTGTGTCCTAACCAAAAAAAAAAAAGATTACATTGAAAAGAGAACTCCCAGTAGCTCAGATACAACCTTATTTGAATAGAGGGTCATAGCGTATGCAGTTAGTTATGATGAGGTCATGATAGAGTAGAATGGGCGCTTCACCAAAAATGACTAAGTTGGGGAAAGACAGACAAAGGGTGAGAATATCATGTGAACACACAAGCAGGTAGTGGGAGAAAGCTGCAAGGTCATGAATACCAAGGACAAATAGCCACCACCAGACAGGAGGAGGAGGAGGAGGAGGCAAGGACAGCTCCACCCAGTGTCTCACTGGAACACGCTATGCTGACACCTTAATTTTCTCACATCTGGGCTCCAGGGAACTGTGAAAGAGTTAATTTCTACTGTGAATTTTTTTCCTAAGCAGCCCTGGGAAATGAACATATGCTATTTTGGTTTATATCTAGATGTCCCCCAAGAGCCTCATGTACTTATAGGTGGAGCTTTTGGAGACTGACCGGACTATGGGTGCTTAGAGGAGACTTGCTAGTAGGTGGTAAAGTCTGGGTGGAAGAGGTGTGGCACTGTGGGCATGGCACAGAGAATCCCTTTCTGGCTCTTCCCTTGGCTCTCTGCTTCCTGGTCACCAGAAGATGAGCAGAAATTCCTCTGTCATAGCCCTGTGCCACACCAACCTGCCTCGAGGCCAGTCAACTACGGACTGAGATCAAAACATGAGCCCAAATAGACTTCTGTGCCCCCTGTAAGAATTGTGAGTGTCCAATGTTGTGTCTTAGCAACGACAAAGCAACTGAGACACATGCTTCAATTTTTTTTTAAATCAGCAAAGAAAAAGAAATAAAACATCACAGACACAGTTGAAGCCTGCTGTGTATTCCTCCACAAAAAAACTTCCTCTTTCTCTCCACAGAGGTAGCTATCCTTAATCCATCCTTAATTTCTTTTTATCATTTCATTCTTTACTTTTATGCATTTAGGTTTTGAATTTTTTTGTTTGTTTGTTTGTCTTGCTTTGTTTTGTTTCTTGAGACAGGGTCTCACTGTGTAGTTCAGGCTGGCCTTGAACTCATTATGTAGTTGAGGCTGGCCTTGGATTCACAGCAATCCTCCTGCCTCAGCCTCCCAAGTGTTGGGATTATAAGCATGTACCACCAGACCTGGCCTCCTTTTATACATTTGGGATGTATCATAAACATTTTTGTTTTTCTTCTTAAAAAATTTATTTGGTTAAAAATAGAAATTCCTAACTTATTACTCTTTTGATAAATAAAAATATATATAAAATATACAGTATGGTGAATTGATATAAATTCACATTATGAATTGACTGCTGCAATGAAACTAGTGAATGCATCTGTCACCTCACACTGCTATCCCTTGTGCGTGCAGTGGAAACACTTAAGATCAGCTTCCTTAGGGGCCACAGAGACAGCTCAGCAGTCTAAGCGCCTGCCCAGCAAGCACAAGGACCTGAGTTTGATGTCTGGTATCACATGCCATGCTGACCCTGCTGTGGGTGTGCCAAGCTGGCCACCAAGATCTGGCGTGGTGGCACATACATACCTGCAATCCCAGTGCTGGGAGGCTGAAACAGGACAATCACTGTGAGTCCAAGCTGTGAAGTGAGACCCTGTACCAAATACATAACATTTTTTTAGAAAGGTCTACTCTCCTAGCATATTTCAAGTATATAAATAGTAGCATTCACTATAGTCATGAGATCTCCAAAACTCACTCATGTTATAACTCAAAGTTTGTACTTCGACCAACAAACATCTATATTTATTTGGAATAAAATTCAAGCATATATTTATAGTGGGACCAAACATCCTCAGCCCTTTTTAAAATTTTATTTTTATTTATTTATTTATTTTTATTTGATACAGGGCCTCACTACACAGTTCAGACTCATCTCAGCCTCCCCAGCACTGGGCTTGCAGGTGTGTGCCACCAAGCCTGGTTCTGGGGTTGGCACGGTGCTCCTGGAGTTCTGGGGCCAGCATGGCATGTGGTACCAGGGATTGAACTCAGGACCTTGTGCTTGCCAGGCAGGCACTTAGACCACCAAGCTATCTCCTCAACGCTTTTAAAAGATGTTTTCAGACAGTTTCACTAAGTTGCTCAGGCTGGCCTTGAACTTGTGATCCTCTTACGTTTGCCTCCCAGGTAGATGAGATTATAACAGTATACCATTACACTCAGCCTCAACTGTATTGCTTTGTTTTACTTTGTGTTTGGTTGCTCTGTTGTTGATTCATTCTAGGTACTGGGGATGTAGTGGCAAGACAGTTAAGGTCCCTGTTTGTCTGGGATTGTCAACCTAATAAAGGAGCCAGACACTACACAAATATACAATTGTACGTTTTAAGAAGATATAGTGCAAGTTTCTGTGAGACAATACCACAAAGGGGCTTATTGAGATCAGGAAGTCAAAGGGTTCAGATTCAGATGTGTCAAGCTTGAGGTGCGGTCAGACATTCAAGTAAAGATGTTAGTCAAGTATCTAACTACTAGGTGGGTCTTGAGGGCGCGAGTCAGAAACCCAAAAGGCACTGGGAACTGTGGGGCTCTTATTTAGACTAGGGGAAGAAAAAAACAGAGCCCAGGACAGAACCTACAGGAAAGGAAACACTAAAGAAGGAACTAAATGGAGGAGCTGACAACAAAATGTGAGTTTGAAAATTAAGTGTGGGAGACTGGGCACAGTGGCACGCACCTGTAATCTCAGTGCTTGGGAGGCTGTAAACAGGAGGATCACTACGAGTCCGATCTAGTAGTGAGACCCTGAACACCCTGTAGGCCCTTCCGCCCCCACCCCCAAAAAAAGCTAACTGAAAATGAAATATGGTAAAGACATTTTAAAAATTATTTTAAAAATAGGAGATTCCTTTGCAGTCAATAAGCCAACTGGGTGCCCTCGCGGGTGGGCATGCAGGATGCAGTGGCTAGGCACAGCAACCCCTCGGTGGGGTGCACAGCCTGTTGTGTGTACCAGCTGCTGTAGGGACCTTGAAGATACCACTTTCCTGTGGATGGTGGTATATCTGACCTCCTGCCATCCAGTCCAGGCTCCAGACAGGCATGTGGGGTGCCTCAGGGCGGCCCCGGGGAACAGTGTGAAGGGTTCACATCGGACAGGTGATCGTGGCCATGTGAACCAAGCTGCAGAACAAGGAACATGAGGAGAGGCCCTGCACAGGGTCAAGTTCAGGTTCCCAAGCTGCCAGAATAGCTACCTCTCAAAGAAGTGGGGCTTCACTGAGTTCAATCAATGTAGATGAATTTGAAGACATGGTGGCCAAGAAGCGCCTCATCCCTGATGACCACGGGGTGAAATACAGCTTGAGTCATAGTCCCCTGGACAAAGTGGCAGGCTTTGCATTCCTGCAGGCTTCTGCTGCACCCCCACCTTCATAACAAGTGCATCAATAATTCTTATTTCTTCCCCCTATAGGAGAGGCTTAGGAAAGGTGACAGGAGGGTCAAAAGCTAGAAGGTTAAGTGAACTGAGTATTGGAAATATCCATTGGCTCAGCAGCACAGGGTTTAACGCTTTTAGCAAGAGCAGCCCCGGGAAGAAAATCAGAGAGCAAATAGACAACTGTTGCCTGAAATTGAAAAAGCCTTTCTAACAAGGAACTTTATTGTACGTGGAGCTAACTTGCACCTGTCTCATAGCTACTAAGCATTTCATGGAGTCACCCAGCAAGAAACAACACTTTACTCCCATCTAAAACAGTAGGGAAAATGTCAGGGAGATAACCCTTGCACCGATTTCTTCTTTACATCTGTTGTACAAATCTCCGCAAACCAATGAAACACACACACATAGACGTGCGATGGGTGACTTAATCTTACAAGGAACTTGAGGAAGCTGTTGTCATCATTGCTTCTGCTGATCAGAGTCTCAAAGGTCAAGACCACATTGGAGTCTTTCCATTATTGTAAAAGTTAATGAAAGTTAATTATTAAAGCTGACAGAAAGATAATTTGCCTACTGCCTTACATAACCTATATATAGACATCCTTATACATATGGACGCACATACGGTCCATAGACTCGGGAAGATGGACATAGCCTCCTAGAACTGGACTGCTTTATCTCAAAGTTTTTCCATTGTTACAGAAGCTCTTCGCTGAGTGTGTTTCAGGTAGGAACTACATTGGTAATTGCTTTACTCATGCTGGTTATCTATTTCTTGAAATATATTTTTTTCTGATCAGAGTCTGTTTAGAAGTTATGGTTATATTCTTGAGATTATTCCATAAGCGTAAATATTTGAATGATTCCACTCAGGCTAAAAACGTGTGTCTGGGGCACTCATTGGTAATGTGAAGTAAATATTTGAGAAGGCTTCTAGCTATCGAGTAGGTGGTTGTGTGCATTGCTAGGGCTTAAGCAGCCTTTTCAAAAACAGCAATGCTTCTGCTGTATTCAGATAATTCCTTTAATTCTCATCTGAATCCGACTTTATAAGTAGATCATCAGGGGCTGGGAAGATGGCTCAGCAGATCATCAGCTGTGAAAGTAAGCAAACAAAGCATGTGTTTAGGAAAAGTTCTCTCTAGCAGCTAAAAATCCCTGTTAGAAGGGTTTTAGAAAAGAAGAAGAAGAAGAAGAAGAAGAAGAAGAAGAAGAAGAAGAAGAAGAAGAAGAAGAAGAAGAAGAGTTTTAGAAAGGCTACCTGGTCCAGAGTGGAAGGCTTTATCTACCAGACACCCCAGAAAGTCTAAAAGTAAGGACAGGGGAAAGGAGAAAAATGAACAGATGAAATCAGGACAGAATAAAAAGGGAAGAAGGGGAAGAAGTGGCAGAGGAGTGCCCTGTGTCGCAGCAGTGTAAGATCAGCCAGGGGACCCACCCTGTAGAAGGCCAGCCCTAGCAAGGTGCAACCTCATTCATTTGTTAAAGTGTCAGAAAAAATTTACAATATTTTTCAGGTATACAAGTGAGCAACAGTGGATTAAACCATAACTCAGTCTCTTTTCCAAAATAATTTTGTCCTATGTATAAACAGCGTAGTGAATGTTACCCATACAAAGTTCACTCTTGCAAAA